AATTTTGTTTTCATGGATGCCTGGAAGTTAAACTTCTTAGTTACACCTGGTAAAGCAGCAATGCTGATCGTTTTATTAAAGATGAAAGAATTTAGACAGTTTTTAACTCTCAGTGATGCTGCACTGTTCGTTTGACCAGAAGCATACGGAGTTTAGGATCCAGATTACTCCCAGATTTAAGAGCATCTTAGTCCGACAAATACGACAATAACGACGGCCGCTTGCATGTTCTGCAAAAAAATGTGCTTTGTCGTGTATCTGACGGACAAACACCAAAACAGTTCCACATCACTGAAGTTGCACCATTTTTACAAACCAATTCTGGTTCATCTGTTTCACTCAACAATCGGCCATGTGCGTATGAAAACAAAGGCACTGCGCATGCGCGTTTTACTCATATTCTATCGCGATATTTCATTTTCCTATCGTTGCCTAACATTATACCGGTATTGCCGTGAACGGTATAATATGGCCCAGCCCTACTTAGAAGTATCATGTCCCCACAATTTTTCTTTGCATTTTCAGTAACTCGTTCACTTACGAACAGCCAGTTGAGCAGCATTGAGACCCAAGAATAGCAGTTAAATATTAAAGTTTTCATTTATCACAGTTAGAACAGTAGTAATATTTTTAGAAATCATCCTACTTGACCCTCTGCTAATGGAACTAGAATTCCTGATTTTAAAAGTGTACTTAATTTCCTAGTCTAATCATTGCTCAAGTTAAATGCCCTATGCTACTTTGATCTAGCATAGGGCATGATGTGCCCCTTTCAGAGTTTGGGGTGTTTCATAAAATTGTCTTAATTAATAAAATAGGAGTGCCTACTTTATAATTAATTATGATTGTTGTTGTTGTTATTATTATTTTAAGTAGCCATCTTTTTGTGTTTAGATTAACTGTTAATTTGTACACACAATGTTTTTGTCCAGCAAATCAGGGGTTAGTTTAAGGACATCAAGATGGTATTTGACTAAAGGGGGAGAGAGTTCTGCATTGTAGGTACAGTTAAGTTTCTGAAAACAAGAAATGATGAAGGTGAGGCTCAGTTTCCTTAACTATCAGGTGAGGAGAGCTTGATGTATAAAGCCCCAGTAAGATGACACACACAAGCTCTTTGGAGTGGAATCTAAACAACAGTCAGCAATACTAGCTGTCATATGCTTTCTTTTCTTTACTGGTATCACTGTCTAATATGAATTGGTTAATTTTGGCCTAACGTGTGTCAATTGTCTGCACACAAACTTGTCTCTCCTTATGTGTATGTAGACATGACTGGTCAGTGAAAATGTCAACACACGTGGACAAAGTGACCCATTCCAAGGACAAAAGCTTAGCCCTTACTACTTTCCCCCTTTTTCTTTTAAACGGACATATGCACTGTAGAGGTTCCTGTTGTTTTTACGCTGCCTGACAGTTTACCAAATATAAATGGTTGGCTTTAAACTTAAAACACCACTAGTTATGTTATTTTTGGAAGACTAAAACTCGCATGCTATTTGGAGGAATAACACCCAGATATTACGTGTCTCAGAACACCACCATTAGGCAACTCGTATGCTCTGTCATAATATGAAATTCAGTCAAAACATTTTATTTATTTATTTTCTATTTTTTTGATTGTACTGATAAGCATGAATTTATTTGCCAAGGGAAGGTCAAGTCTTTGGATCCATCCTGCTGAGTTGTCTTTAATTTTTGGCCTGCTCACTGCAAAATGTGCATGAATACAGTGCTTGCATTTTCTAAACAATTGTCCTTGCAAAAACTGTTCAAATATTATAATAATTTGCCTGGAGATCATACTCTCATTTGGATTTTCAGCAACTAAAGCTTATATGCAGAAACACTGCTGCTAGTTATATCCTTTTCCTGGCATTACATATTTGCAATGCTACTGTCAGAGGATCCCAGAATGGTTCAACCCAATGAGAGAAATTTTACCTTTTGTTTTTGGCATTAGACATTTACTAATTACTTTTAGTAATGTATTTTTAACTGTTGTTGCTGTGTGGTGGGGTTTTTATTTTATTTTTATTTTTTATTTTTAAACACAAATTTACATTGTGGTGGTCTCTGCATTTTTATTTTCATTCTTTGCCTCTACTTAACTGGTATATGGATTTGGATGCATATGTCCTATATGATATATTATTGTACTGCTGTACTGTCACAAACAACCAGATGGAGTAAGATTTCATGCATTATCATTTTTTTAATAATGATACCTTATATTTTAAGTTTTATTTCAGTCTGGTATTCTTCCACTATTTTTGACAGCACTGTTTTGTTCTCTACAGGCTACATGAGGAGATTATAGACTTCTATAACTACATCTCCCCACGGCCAGAGGAAGAGAAAATGAGATTGGAGGTGGTGGACAGAATCAAGGAAGTCATCCATGACTTGTGGCCAAGTGCTGAGGTATATTTTATTCTTAAACCCTAACAACTGCAAAAGTTTTCTTTAGGCAGAATGTTGGTTTGGATATTGAGAGATAATATATTTATTTTTTGGGGGAAAAAATCCACTTGTGGGGTTTGTCAGTGAAAGCACCACTTCAGATTATTAGCTTTAATCTGAAAGCTATCTAATGTCTATTTTACCGTATCTTATTTTATTTTTTGCACAAATAAATGATTTGTAACACAGTGAAAACCGTTAACATGCTTTCTTAAGTGAATTTTAAGGAAGTGCTTGAAAAGGACAGTTTCTGCAAATAGCTTTTATTGCAAAGTACTTTGTGGAGTCATAAATGCTGACAGAGACCGAGCTCTATGGCCATACTACCTTTGACACAGTGGTCTCTGTAACTTATACAGGTCCTTCTCAAAAAAATTAGCGTATTGTGATAAAGTGCATTATTTTCTGTAATGTACTGATAAACATTAGACTTTCATATATTTCAGATTCATTACACACAACTGAAGTAGTTCAAGCCTTTTATCGTTTTAATATTGATGATTTTAGCATACAGCTCATGAAAACCCAAATTTCCTATCTCAAAAAATTAGCATATTTCATCCGACCAATAAAAGAAAAGTGTTTTTAATACAAAAAAGTCAACCTTCAAATAATTATGTTCAGTTATGCACTCAAAACTTGGTCGGGAATCCTTTTGCAGAAATGACTGCTTCAATGCGGCGTGGCATGGAGGCAATCAGCCTGTGGCACTGCTGAGGTGTTATGGAGGCCCAGGATGCTTCGATAGCGGCCTTAAGCTCATCCAGAGTGTATCCCACAGATTCTCTATGGGGTTCAGGTCAGGAGAGTTGGCAGGCCAATTGAGCACAGTAATACCATGGTCAGTAAACCATTTACCAGTGGTTTTGGCACTGTAAGCAGGTGCCAGGTCGTGCTGAAAAATGAAATCTTCATCTCCATAAAGCTTTTCAGCAGATGGAAGCATGAAGTGCTCCAAAATCTCCTGATAGCTAGCTGCATTGACCCTGCCCTTGATAAAACATAGTGGACCAACACCAGCAGCTGACATGGCACCCCAGACCATCACTGACTGTGGGTACTTGACACGGGACTTCAGGCATTTTGGCATTTCCCTCTCCCCAGTCTTCCTCCAGACTCTTGATGGCATCTTGATTTCCGAATGACATGCAAAAGTTGCTTTCATCCGAAAAAAGTACTTTGGACCACTGAGTAACAGTCCAGTGCTGCTTCTCTGTAGCCCAGGTCAGGCGCTTCTGCCGCTGTTTCTGGTTCAAAAGTGGCTTTACCTGGGGAATGTGGCACCAGCCCATTTCCTGCACATGCCTGTACACGGTGGCTCTGGATGTTTCTACTCCAGACTCTACTGCTTCCGCAGGTCCCCCAAGGTCTGGAATCGGTCCTTCGCCACAATCTTCCTCAGGGTCCGGTCACCTCTTCTCGTTGTGCAGCGTTTTCTGCCACACTTTTTCCTTCCCACAGACTTCCCACTTAGGTGACTTGATACAGCACTCTGGGAGCAGCCTATTTGTTCAGAAATTTCTTTCTGTGTCTTACTCGTTTAGAGAACCTTTTCATGATATGCTAATTTTTTGAGATAGGAATTTTGGGTTTTCATTAGCTGTATTCCAAAATCATCAATATTAAAACAATGACAGGCTTGAAAATAATGAACTTTATCACAATATGCTAATTCTTTTTGAGAAGGACCTGTAACTGTCAGATACCAGTGTTGGTTTACAATACTAATCAGGCTGTTTGTGATGTAGCTAATGGCTACAGACGTCAGGCTTTTTTAAAGCATCCTGTTTTCTGTTATCTCGCTGCTGCACAGTACTGCTTGGGTCATTTTATTACTGCCACCTCAGGCATTATTGTACCCGCTGACTTTGATCCTGCTGATAGAGCAGTGTGCTTCAAAGTGTGTCTGCCCTGGGAATAGCAGCTCCTAAATGAGGAGCACAACACTGTCCCAATTGTGGTCAGCTTTATTTATTTATTTTTTTCCTCACCATGAAGTGAGCAGGAGCAGCGTTGTCATCAGGTCAGTGTGATGCCTGTTTAATTAGCTTAGATGCCAAGAAGTCCAGCAGTCACACTGTTGCTGTACCAAATTGAAATCTTGCCAGGTAAACATGTAGGTTTGTCTCATTCAAAAAGCACCAATAACTTGGCAGTTATTCACCACACTTAGGCCACAAGTGAAAGTGTTACTGGAGATGCCAAACTGGGATCAAACTACTCTTTTCACCTTCCTAACCACCTATAGTTACCTCACCCTTCACAGAAATCTTCAAGAACTACTATTCATTCATTCATTCGGTCATGGCTCTACACTCAGCTTAATGCTCTATATGTGACAGTCCTGTAAACCAGAGTTTATACTTCTGGGTTATAGTGCAATGTGTAGAGGAGGTTTAAGGGAATTAAATGTGGGCCATGGCTTAATTCTATTTGTGTAGTGCTCTGAGAGAGGTTAAAAGGGAAGGTTGAAGATGTATTTTCATTAACAGAGTGCAGGTTATAAGATTAGTAGCTAAAAAGGCTGTTGTTATTGTAAAACCTGTTCAATTTGTGTAAGCCTGCCACTAAATCACTGCTATGTTGAGCTGTAAAAATCTATTCATGCACGCTGTAGAACAGGTTTTTGTTGTAGTCAGTTGTAGCGTGGGAAAATCAAGGAAAGCTATCATAGTGCTTGTTTCAGTTTGCCAGCAGGGTAATCTATGTCATGGGTTGTCAGAGCTATAAAGGTGTGTAGGAGTTTAAAGAAACATTGTGATTAAAAAGACCTTTGTGACATGCGTTATCTGCATTTCTTATCCTAAACAAAAAAATATCTACATGTGTGTAACTGCTTGTCCTTTATCTTCAGGTGGAAGTGTTTGGGAGTTTCAGCACTGGTCTTTATCTGCCAACAAGGTGAGCTATGCAGCATTCATCATTTTTGCCAAACTGTAACTGAACTGGCTTATTACCACAGTTACTTAACTCACCTATGGAGAAAGCGCTCTGTCTAGCCAGGCTTTGAGGATTTTAGCACCACTGATCCTGGAGCTCGTAAAGGATTTACTCAGAGTGGCTCCCCACTGCTGACAGACAACAAGAAGACAACAACACCCCACCCCCCTCAACACACAGGCAGGCATGCCACCTGCATTAGTGAACTCTTAACACCATACTGAGCGCTTTAAAAGGGCTCAGCTGTTCATTAATGCTTTATTTTTCACTGACTGATTTCTTTGACATTTTTGGATCATTTCTAGAGACATGACTGTTTGTATTGAGCTGCTAGAGTCGAGTGTTTTGTGGTCTGCGTGTATATTTTTGTTTGCACGCCTCTTGTTTGTACTGGGTGCTTGTGTGTGACACATGGCACTGCTGACTTAATACACATTGGCTGACTCTTAAAAGGCTCTGTCAGGAGCTGCACATTGCTTTTCCACAAGAGGGAACCAAAGCCATCTGCCATCTATCTGCAGTTATCTAACACACAGGATAGGTTTAAGGTGGACCACTTGTGCGTTTCCTTGGCATTTGTTTTGTGTATGCAGTTAGTGATGGAAGCTCATGCTCAAATTTTGAAATGATGTCACAAGTAATTCTTCTGAGTCACACATTTGGGCTTCACACGTCCACACCCTGCTTGTAATGCTCAGCAGAGACTGGACCACAGTTTGAGAACCCACAGCCTTAAAATTACTTTTGAACTTCGGGGCTAAGACAGGGCGGTATAAGAAAGATGAGGATTATATAAAACTTTTGTGTACTTAATTACAAATTATGGAACAAGTGAACTTCAAATCCAGCTGGTTTATCATATAATACCTGTTGAGTGGAGTAGAAAATTTTAGCAAAATCACGCCACACTCACTTGTACAGAGGAACAATGTGCAGTGTCTTTATGTGCGACGATAAATTTCAGCTGAAGTTATTTTAGTTGTGCACCTAATGTTAAAGGTGCATTGTTTTTAGTTTAGTGAGGGTCAATATTTTTGTCACATGACAAACTTGAAACTAAATGTTGGTGTTTGCGTTGGTGTTGGTGTTTTTGAGGGACTCGTATAGAAGAGTTGGATTAAAATAACTTTTTTTTCCTCCTCTTCATTTTCCCCTCTCAACAGTGACATTGACCTGGTAGTTTTTGGGAAGTGGGAGTCACTCCCTCTCTGGACTTTAGAAGAGGCGCTCCGAAAGAAAAACGTCGCAGATGAAAACTCCATCAAAGTTTTGGACAAAGCCACAGTAAGACTTCATTTCCAGTTTTTCTTCTGTGTTTAGAGGTATAAATCTGTAAAGCCACAACCTGTGGAAAAAGCAAACATGGAATCATTGCAAGCTACTAATTATCTGCAATAAATCAGATTCATGTAGAGCAATTCGCCTTAGTTTTCAGTGTCTTCAATTCAGGCAAGCAGCTGTATGAAATCACTGATGACGCTGATAAGCATAGTTGTCTTATTATAGTCAGGCATGTGTACAGACATGCACATGAAGAGAAATGCCAGCATCAGAACTTTGGTATGCTTCAAGTGTTTTGTTGCTACAAATGACAGAGTACATTTCATCCAAACTAAAGTGATGTGGTTCTAGCAGTGGCACAGCATGTAATGATCTTGAAGCTAACATTGTCATTCATATCACATCATTTTTGTTTTTTCAACCAATTTCAAAAGTTTAATTAACAATCTGTGCTTTGTTAATAGATTTTTCCTAACATTTGGGTTTATAGCATCTCAGAAGATTTAGTAAAAGCCTTTTCTGCTTTGCAACTGTCGCTTATTATGGTTCTTAAAAAGCCTATAAGCAGTTGTAGGGGAATATCAAGTGGATTTTAGTTGAGGATTATCAGTTGTGTATGATTGCATGTGAACCTGTTGTTTTCACACTTACAGACACACTTGGACACAAAGTAGTTTATAGGTGCAGATTTAAAATATGTCTTTTATAACAAGTGTGAGGGATTCGTATTCTGTGTCACGCATGTTCCAGGTTCCCATCATTAAACTGACAGACTCTTACACTGAAGTTAAAGTGGACATCAGCTTCAATGTGACGAGTGGAGTGAAAGCTGCACGTCTCATCAAGGAATTCAAAGAGGTACAGTTTACAGTACAGTTTCTGTTCAGTGTATTTTATGTATGATTTTTTATTTTTTTTATTTTTTTTGCTCCATGTATTTTTCTGTATTAACACCTGTAAGGCTGAGTTCCTTCTTTTAGAGATGTGTACATTGTTTGAGCACTGTTGTAGTTGATCTTAGACCTTAATCTGTGTGGGATCACCCCGAGGTCTTCCTGAATCCTGAAGATCCTTGCTTTCTCGTGAGGCTACTTTATATAAAAATGTACAATATAATAATCCCTATTGTCTTTATCCTGTAGAAATATCCTGTGCTGCCTTATCTGGTCCTGGTGCTGAAGCAGTTTCTACTGCAACGGGACCTCAATGAGGTTTTTACCGGTGGAATTGGCTCCTACAGTCTCTTTCTCATGGCTGTCAGCTTTCTGCAGGTTGGTTCTGTAGTTTAAACCCAGCCGCCCAATGTTCCGAAACAAAATACAAAGACTACAAAATATAAAAACCCTTACCTGTGAATAAAATGATCAGAAATTTGCGCTTTAAACTGAGAAACAAGAATTGCAGCTAACTTACTGATTTACAGTACTTCTAACAACCACCTGTACTTTGTTTCCAGCTTCACTACAGGGAGGATGTGTTTGGTCTCAACATCAACATTGGTGTTTTGCTCATTGAATTCTTTGAGCTCTATGGGCGCAACTTCAACTACCTGAAAACAGGCATCAGGATAAAAGACGGCGGGTGCTACGTTGCCAAAGACGAGGTTCAGAAGAACATGTTGGATGGCTACAGGCCCTCCATGCTCTACATTGAGGACCCACTACAGCCAGGTAGAAATTATTCTAATTCCTCAGAGGTGTTGAATCTTAAATTGGTGCAGCATGCATATTTAAATGCACAAGCCGTTGCTACACAAACAGTGTGTCGATAAAAAGCAAAGAAAATCCAGTCTGATCTTCAGTATTATATTAGCGTGACTGTAAAAACTGCTGCTCCAGTCTGACTGTAATGTCACATACTGCAATTAAGACCTCATTATTTTTTTGGCTTAAGACTTGCAGAGCCATCTGTGTTATTCTAACCAAATGTAATATATAATGAAGGCGAATAATTATGAAATAGCAGAAACCTTAAAAAGTGCAAGTGGTTAAAGCCATACCTTATCAAAAGATTCAACACAGAACTTAAATAGTAGAAAATGGTGTTGTCATTAAATGGGCAATGTGGAATTGATAATTCTTCATCGTATTGGCGTGTTGGTAATGTTCTCACCTTCTGTCTTGTGTCCAACAGACAATGATGTTGGCCGCAGCTCTTACGGTGCCATGCAAGTGAAGCAGGCGTTTGACTACGCCTACGTGGTGCTCAGCCATGCCGTGTCACCCATCGCCAAATTCTACCCCAACAATGAGAGTGAGAGGTAAGGAACAAATTCAAGAAACTTGCGAGGACTTGTCTAATGCTAATTTAATTTCTTAATTGAAATTCTCATTCTTTGGACTTAAACAACTGAGACAGTAGAATCAGTGATTGTTTTGGTACAGTCACATTCAGAGCGGAGGGTTATCAGCAAAAACAAGGGCTTCTTACAGTTTATCTTCAGTCTGTGAAATGATATCTACTTTCTTATACTTATTAGTTATTGTAAGAAAAAATTTTGTTGCTTGCATCACTTGATGCACACAAACCCTATTAACATTTGTATTCAGACTGCTGTTTTACTATATATTTCTCTCTTGTGTCTTATCACAGTATACTTGGCCGGATCATCCGTGTGACTCAGGAAGTGGATGACTACAGAGAATGGATCCGAAAAAAATGGGGAAGCCCACTAAACAGTATGTTCAGGTTTTCTCATGTGTTTGAAAAAAGTAACTGCAAAGTAACTTTGACCCACTAAAGATCAGCAGTTCACTGTCTGCTGAATGTACTAATAACTCCAGACTGTAGACCAAATGTAATCTTTACAGGCTTAATGTGTTCACTCTGCATTTGTCTTTTCCCGGCTTCTGTAGAAAATGAAGTCACATTGTTTGAATCGCAGCAGCTTGATGAGCGCAACAACAACGTTCCAGATGACGACAATGATCCTGTGGTGGCTGTACTGTCAACTCCTCTCAGCAAAACATCCTCCAACTCTTCTTCCCCGTCACTCCGCTCCTCTCCCTCCTCCTCCCCACTGTCGCCGTCTTCCACATCCTCTACTTCCACCTCAAGTGATGGGGTCAGTCCTGTGGCTGCATACATATTTCAAATATGACATTATTGCAAATATCTGTAACATTTAAAGCTTCCTAAGAAAGATTTATAGGTGACAAAATATTTTGGAAATTATATTTTGTAACAAATTTTGTCCCCCACCCAGGACTCTGATAGTACACCTTGTAAGACTGCCAAACAGCAGCCCAGCCGAGGATCCAGTGCTCACAGAGAAAAGTCTGCTGCTGTCAGCAATCGCAGAACACAGAGCCACACTACCAGCACTCCACCTGGAGGCAACAAGGGAGGAAAGGTACTCACAGCTTCACATTAAATTCACACATACATCTCAAGATACCACAGATGTATCAATCTAACTTTTGACTAATTGTGATAGTTGTTAACCTCTTTAAATCAAGGATTTATCTTATTGAGATTTTTCAAACAGATCCACTTTAAGAGCAAAGATTGAGGAACACATAAGACAAAAAGAAATTATAAAGGTTTGTAGGTTTATAGGTTGCAAGAGGAACTACAGATGCATAAATATAACATTTTAACATTTCAATTGCAAAATCATAGAATGCAACTTAATGTTTTTGCAGTAAATTTGGGCAATATTTAAGAGTAATGGCTAATGTTAGAATGCCCTGTGCTGGTAACTGCTGGATAACTTTGATTTGTATTTATTTTTTCTGGATAATGAAAGATTGCAAAAGAAATGGAGAAGCTTTTCTAGTGTGCTTTTTGTCACATTTCTGCACCATCACTGGCAAGTTACATTGACACTGTACAGCAGGTAAAATATTGAACACATCACCAATTTTCCAAGTAAATGTATTTCTAAAGGTGCTATTGACATGAAATCAACAAAATGTTGGTAACAGCCCATCTAAGCACACATGCAAAGAAATTAAACCATAAGAAATGACATGAGGGGGAAAAAGTGTTGAACACATGAAAAAAAGGGAAGTGTAAAAAGGCATAGCAAGTCATGACTTCAGCTGAAATCTCAGCTCTCGCAAGACCTTTGCAACCTTTTTATTGCAAAACGCACAGATGGCATCAGCTACAGAAGAATTTCTAAACTGAAGGTTCCAGTGAGCACTGTTGGGGCCGTAATCCTGAAGTGGAAAGAACGTCATTTCACCATAAACCAGGTGTTCCTGCAAGATTTTAGACAAAAGTGAAAAGAATTATTACAAGAGTTGTCCAAAAGCCAATGACCACAGAGCTACAGCAGGTACAGTTGTTTCAAAGAAAACAATAAGTATTATAATGCCATAGTGCACACCATGTCTGGAGGTCAAAAGGCATTGCATATTACCCCCCAAATACCACACAAACAGTGAAGTACAAATCAGTTGAGCATCATGATATAGGGCTGGGCTTTTGTTTTGTTTTTTTTGTTTTTTGGGGGGGGGGGGGTTCTTCAGCATATGGGACTGGAATGCTTCATAGAATTGAAGGAAAGATGAATGGAAAAATATACCGACACATCCTTGATTAAAAATCTGCTGCCATCTACCAGGAGGATGAAGCTGAAACGAGGATGGATGTTTTAGCAAGACGATGATCCCAAACACTGCCAAGGGACCTCTCAATTGATTTCAGAGAAAGTACAGCTGCTACAATGCCCCAGCCAACCTGACCTGAATCCAACTGAAAGTCAGTGTAACAAAACAAAAACAAATAAAACCTCCCAAAAAACTAAAGGTCAGAGTTCATAGAAGGGAACCTTCAGATTTTGAAGACTGTTTGTTTGGACAACTGGGCCAAAATCACACCGCAGGAGGGTCTTGAACAAACAAAGGCTTTTATACAAAGTATTACTTGTTCAGTACTTTATCCCTGTGTCATGTCTCATTATTACACATAATTTATGGACATCTGGTTTGATTTCTTTACATGTGTGCATTGGATGGGTTGTTACCGACATCTGGTGATTTCATCTAAATGGCACCTCTAGAAATATATTGAGTTGAAGTGCTTATTTTACCCGCTGCATGTCTACGGAAATTCCACCACTATTAATAACTAAATGTTTTGTCCTCTGCCTCCAAGGCCAGGATGTCTCGTTCTCACCAAAAGAGTGGCCATCACGGGCAGCAGACCAACTTCTCCGGTGGCAAAAGCCATCCGAGCAACAAGCCGCACCACCACCAGGCCAGCAGCAAGAGGAGGAAAAATGTGCGAGACTCTACACAAGAGGATCTTTACAGATAGGGTTAATTTTGCTAGCATCACCCCACATCTCCCTTCCTTTTCTGCAACGGACTGTCACATCTTACTTCTGCTGCCAGACTCGAGGCTTGGGAGACTACTAGTATTGAAACATCGTCCAGAACTCTTTCAATCTGGCTTTTCAGGGTGACGAGCAACATCCTCTAGCAGGGAGGAAAAACTCACAAAGAGAATCGTAATTGGAAATGGACATAATTTCATGGACTTGAACTGAAATCACAAAGGGTAAACGGTCAGTTTCCAGCTTCCCAACAGCTTCTTGTAAGGAGTGGGGTTTTTCTTTCCATAGCCAGCACCTACACAATATGCCTCTTGCGCCTCCTGCTGTACAGGAATGGACAGGCCAGGTTTGTGAATCAGCTCTGGAGCAATACCTGGAACTGCTGGCTGGAAAATAGGATCAAAGGTTTTAAAGAGAAATTAAAGTATGCAAATGGCTTAAAATGTACAAAAAAAAGTTATGTTGAACAGAAAATGTGTATGAAGATTTTTTTTTTTTTTTTTTTAAATGATGGTCACTTACAAATGCAATCAATAAGAGCGGGGAAATAACTTATGCATGATATGTTTTTAGTTGATTTAAATTGTTTTGTTATGTCTAAACAGGTTATAAAAAGATTTGTACAAAAAAACACACAAAATAAGCAAAAAACTGTTAAAAAAAAAAAAAATCACAACTAAGAGGAACCTATTTCGTATGACATTTTTACAGACAATTTGAAGTCGTATAAACATGCACATTTTGCTCCCGCTGCTTTGGGTCCCATTGCCAACAGAAATCATCAGCATCTAGTTTTTCTCCTGTTTGCTTTCTGAGTGTGCTACAGTGTTAACAGTTAGCCCTGAGTGAGCCTTTGCTCACAATACAGCCCTATAGATGAGCAGAGGGAGCTAGAGTTCTCTTATCCAGCTCAGTCACATCAGTGTAGAGGCTTTAAGACTACAGGTTTGAAACGTATAGGGCGATAATGGGTTTTATTGGGGGGAGGGGGGACAAAAAAAACAACAAAATCCTACACTTGAAAACGTGTCATCAATGCGATAATAATCTGTTTCTCTGATAATTTACAAACTACAAAATCATTTGTATTTGTTAAATGTATTTATTTTTTTATTAATTGTATGAACATAGTATGGATCTATGTGTTTAACATTAGAGCCCATATCTTCGAGTCCTATATTTGAAATGGGATAAGTTGTCGGAAGGTGGGTTGGGGTCGGGCATGTTAGGATACAGGAAGATGCCACCTTTTTATTGTTGTACTACTACTTTTTTTTTCTTTTTTTTTTCTTTTTTTTCTCTTGTTCCACTGACAGTTGAGTGACCAAGGTACTTTGAACAATTTAAGACCATTTTACAAGTCATGTGGTGAGAATTTTCTATTCATGTGGCTGGTCTACCTAGTTTAAGAGAGACTATTTGTTTTACGGTTTATAAATCAACAGAACACTTCTGTCATTGCAGTACAGCAACTAACCTGTAGATGGAGTTATTGCTCCAAGTCTTAATCCACAGAGTTTGGGCTTGTATACTGCATTTGGGTTTTTTTTTTCCTTTTTTTTTTTTCCTTTTTTTTTTTTTTTTGGTTTTGTGTGCGATTGTGATTGACATAAGCTTGGTGTCTTGTCTGAATAGGCAGCTGCACATAGCAAACTTTCAACTTAAACAGTTTTTCTAGGAGGGAGTCTCACACCGAAGCACAGTGCAGTCCCCTCGTCATCTACCTTTCTCAGATGTGACAAGAATCACCCACAGTAAAACAAGTAGCCAGCAATAACCACCACCTCACGTTATAGAATGCTACTCCACAATGACTACTGTAGCGACACAATGTTATGCTCACCACCGAGCTATGTTATGTTTAGATGGAGCAGGATCAGGACACTTTTAAGTCAACTTACTGTTATTTGGTGTTGAATTATTAAAAAAAAAAAACAACACAAAAAAAACACACAAAAAACTAGTTCCACTACCCTTCCAACACCTCACTCATCCTCAAGTACTACAACTGAGGTTTAAAAATGCAGTATAACAGCGCTGGTCTTGTGGTCGACAGACAAGGAGAAAGGTGAATCAAGTTGTGCCATCTGAATGTCCACTGACCATGTTTCTTCACTGCAGGAAAGCTTTGACCCCAACTGTACTCATTTGAAATGTTTTTCTGCAGCTATTACAATCCATGCAATAAAAACCATATCATTAAACCATATGTTGAGACAAGTTTCTGGTCTGCCTTTGACTTTTATTTTGAATTGTCTGTCTCTTTGTTGACTAAATTAAATAATTGTAAGGTCACTTAAAATGAAAAGCAGCATTGTGTTGGGGTGTGAGAGGGACATCTCCAGAGGGGAGCTCATCTGAAAGTCTCCAAGAGCATGAAATGAACCAGTGGTGGAAGTTGATCCAGTGCAAATACTCCTGTATTTGACTGAAATTCTTTTATTTTGCATGTAAATATTGTATGTAACTCATACTCCACATTGTTTCAGTGATTAAAGCTTTAAAATGTATAAACCCTACTAAAAATGTATTGAAAACTTAAACCACAAGGTGGCAGCATCTTACCAAAAAGTTTTATTGTAGGCAACTACGCTAACCAGCATTGCATTCTGTGCAAGTTTGAAATTACAGTCTTGAAAGACGTTTTTATGGTGGTTTTAACAAAACTGCACAGACGTTTCTAGTGTTCTCAATAAGTACGATGACAGAAATATAAATGCGGTACAGATATTAAGTTAACATCAAAGATAATTGCAGCCACCGTAAGCAAAAATAGTTTTAAACTCTTGTGCAAAACTACTCTTCACACAATACATCTCTCTTAGTTCATAGGACTCTCCTGCATGAGCCTCAAAATAGTAGCCAATGCTTTCTATACTATATTTAACCGGGTCTGTGGTCTCCCCCCTGCCTTTTTTGGGGCTCCCATCTTTGCCCAAGGTTGAAAAAAGTCTGGTTAACGCCCCTGGTGTGTGACAGCGATGGAGGAGGGGCGTGCTCGCTTGGCGCAACGCGCGCACGGGCAATTGAAGAGTAGAGAAGAGGCGCACGGGGACCACGCACTCAATGTGCACTTACCGGTTCGTTTATGTACGATTTATTTCCCGGAAGACCTTTAAGTCTCTCAGGTAAGATGCTAAACTCTTGTTTGATTAAAAAAACTAAACAAAACAAAAACGACCCTTCCTGACACATTAACACCTGCATGCTCAAGAGAAGGGTAACTGGTTGCACGGGGGAAAAAACGGTTAACTCAAGGATGTCTCAGCGGAAAACTTTCCATCTCTGGCAACACCTTTTCATTTAAGTCGAGGTTTATATATATATGTGTAAATTTGTCGAAGTCTAAAGTTAAATAAAATGACACTTTTCTTGATCTCCGCATCGATTTTCCTTGACGCGTTTTTACCTGCCTGCTCTTGTCATCCAGACTGCAAGAAGTTGAATTGGTTTGTTTCGGAAATGAAGCTACTCACTCCTGGCTCGCTCTAAGCGAGCTGCCTTTGAGAGTTAGAGCTTCAAATGTTAATATTGAAATCCTCTTTGTCACATATTTAGTGCGAGTTTGTTCGAGTTGTAGGTGGAGAAACTGTCTGAAACTGTGAGAAATCAGAAAGTGGATTTATCCCCCTTGTTCTAAACGGGCTTTCGGTCTGCCATGCGTTTGTGTCAAACGTGTATCTCCTTGTATGTCACCGGGTAATGACTGGTAGTGTTTCTCACTCATTTATTGAGCGCACCCATCCAAATATAACCAGTTTATTTACTTCGGCATGGATTAAACTCTACCAGTGATCCTGTGATGTCTTTTCTCCGTGCTCTGGTGTTCTCCAAACCAACAAGGGCATTTTAGGGAAGGTAATATTTGTTTTTAATAAGTAAGTTGCTTTTTGGCAGGCTGGATGTTGCTGATTTAAAATAGTTTTATCTCTTCAAATCTCTTCCTACAACATATGGTCCCCGTTTCTACCACGAATAGTGCCCCTGTCAGTGCCTGTATACTCATTTCAGAGTGAAACTGGCTTTAGTCCTTTAGTAACTGGAGCACAACACAGTGCGTGCTTCAGAAGGCGCTTTACTGTTTGAGTTTAAAATCGAAATTGAATTTGATTTATTTACAAATCAGTTTAACATGATCTAATATTAAATGACGTTATCTGCACTTTTTAATTAGTGGTCATTAAAACAACAGTTGTGGAGCTGTGCTGCGAGATCCCAGAGAAAGCAGCATGAGTCATTTTTAATGAAATCAAAATAACTAACCATCCGATTTTAATAATATTTTAACTTCTCACACAGTGTTTGTCCATTTTTTTTTTAGATATCCATCTATGAGCTCAGATTTCATTTAAGTGGATTTAAAATGACCTTAAATTGATTTTAATAATATATTCACAATACAGAAAAACGTTGATTCCCATATCTCACTGACAACAGTTTTCACTGGGGCTTCTTTAATTTGCAGGAAATGGTCCGTGTATTATTTGGGTGCATCACAGTGAGTGTGAGGTAGTTTTATTATTATCTTAAAGTTAGACATATTAAGAGCTATTTTTGTTGTTGTGAAGTTCAGTCTGTTTCCTAAATAGAAAGCAACCACACATTGTCAGCCCATGTATTTATTGAACCAGCAGTGTGCATAATTTTGCCTGAATGTAATGTTACAGCATAGGTGATGTGATCTCTGAAAACAGAACATACAGGACATAGTTTTAAGGGATTATAATGGTCGGCTGATGTATAGCTTTTCAGGCAAATCTGTTTATGTGCACACAGTCCACTCGCTTGCTTTGGTCTGAATAGAAGATTAGACATCAGCCGAACAGCTTACATACACAACTCGCAATATATGGCTTCACTTGAAATCGGTCTTTGTGATAATTTATTGCAAATAGTTTGAGAAATGATATGTAAACTCCATCACATCTGAGTATTTAATGTTGCACTTCCTCAGCTGTTACTTTCCGTAAAGTGAAGCTGCAGCGAAGTCATTTCTTGGCATCGGCAGGTAGTTTAAACTGTGGATGAAGGCCATATTACTTCTCCTAAGAGCCAGGAAGAGATTGTGTAGCTGTACAAGTGACTCCTGAAAACACCAATTGGCTTTGTGTTTCTTCTCTACAAAGCTGTTCTGGTGATAAACTCTTTACATGGCTTAAAAGCTTTTTTTGTTTGTTTACGCTGTGATGACGTGTATACATGTGTAAACCCAAGAACCGAATGACATGTGCATTCCTGCCATCATATTCTGGGTACATGGATAGGCTAATTCTCATGTTTCTGCTTGTTTGAGCCTACTCACTGTTACTGACTCCATCGGGATAAGAGACATAGCTTCTGTGGGGCGGCTGTGTATCACTTGCTTGATTACTAATCTGATCCCTTTTCCAATTCTCTTAAGTACAGGCGGCTTATGGATTGACCACTTGCTGTTATTTTTAATGACATCACTTTGTTTTAATTTAATCTAGGCAGTGAAAAACATTGAAGCCTAAAATGGTGAGATTACCATGTATAATGGTCAGTGTAAAATATCTGCAAGCAAGAGAAATCATTGCTTTGACGTATGGAGCTCATGTGTTTTAATGTAATGGAGGGGTTAGTCTATGCAGTGGCAGTGGTGTTAAATTCTTGGTCATGGCTCAGCAGGTGAATGCGTTACTGCAATTCCCTAAATAACCCTAACCCGTTGACAGAAAAGCTGTAATCTAAATCGTAACCTATACATTAGCATTGGCCACTGGTGTGCAGTTATCCTTTGTGATGGTGAAATGTATGTAATTTTGACACGATGAAAACTGTGTTGTAATTTTGCAGATTGATTTTACAGTTTGACGCACCCAAACAGGGTTTAGCTGTGAGTGCGCACAAAAAAATCCCAAACTATAACAAAACAGATTGTGGGGAATGACACCAGGGTCTGCTTTGTGATGATAATAACTGGTAGTTCAGTTGCTTTGTGTTTCTTCGCCCTCTCGCGTGGAGCCTCAGCTGACCATGTCGCTAGTATAAGACAGCAGTTCCCAGTGTGTGGTTTCAGTGCTAGCATGTCTTCATCAGTGGGGTTTGTTGAAAACCATTATTTTTCATGTTATGTATTCATAGTCTGCACTGTCATGCATCCTTAGTAAAAATGTTAATGCATTGGAGTAAAATGAATCAGGTCATTTTGTAGGCTAACGTAATCGAATTTATTCAAATTTGCATCCTTTGGTTTGGTGTTTCTCATTAAGCTATGGCCAATTACTAACTCCACTGTAAAATTTGATGATAATACTATGAAACACTATTAGCAATTATCCGTTAGCCACACTGTCTGTCTGTTATCAGTAAGGTAGTGGCTTGCAGCTATGGTTGAGTAATAAAGCTATAACATTAATATAGAAGGTAGGCAACAAATGTCACCAGACAGTGTCCATTTGACAGGAAAACACAGTTATGTGTCCAAAACACACTATGTCCCCATGGATATCAAAGATGGTATCGGGTATCAAGTATTTTCCTCGGTATCAGTATCGAGTTTTGAAATTCAAGTATCGTGACAGCCCTGGTTAGCGGATACCTGAGTCTGTCTGGTCTCCAAGCAAAGGATGGGCAGTATAGCCGCAAAATGATATCACAACATTTCAAGAAAATTTGCGATAATGATATTACTGACAGTATCTTTTCATTGATCCTTGTAGCTTACAGAGAGCGGTAGCAAGCTTCAACACTGTTATCAAAAATATTTTCTACCTGAAATGTTACATTTAGCATCGAGCTTTTTAACCACCTGGGCCGAGGTAGCTTTTCCACCATGTAACCACATCCTTAATTTCTATCCACCTTTGCTCTTCCTGTCATAATGGAGTGCAGCCAGCGACACCTGGTGGAGTCATTTGTTGATATTTGTTTCGCACATCACCAGCTGTGTTCAATCTTTAGTGGAAACAGTTTTCCTGCATATTATGTAAAGTATTTTGTTTTGTTGGAAGCTGTTGAAGTAGCTCGGGTTTTGCTAAATCGTCCTCGGAGGCTGACGCACGGCTCTTGCCTTCAAACTTGCCCAGGCTTGTGTCATTGTTGAGCACACTGTGGAATTTAAACACGTGGTTTCACGGTAGCAGTGATGTTTCGATTTGACATTTATTAATAGTGTTTAATTGCAGACAATATGACATGGCATAGCCCTACTCCAGACGTTAACAACAGCTACAGAATCTTGTTGAATGACGGCCTATATGGACAGAGTAATAAAGCAGAGGGCTTGGGGAGAAGAGTAATTTTTAGGGCTTGGTAAAATACGTTACTGTAACTTCATTCCAGCTATCCATTATAACCCTTCTGTGTTGGTTTCCAAAAACACTTCTCTGGCTATATTTGTGTGAATTTCACTTCACCTTTGGTGTAAATATAACTTCAGTCAGATGACCTGTTTGGGTTTTTTTTGCTGCAAACATTGGAAACCACCGAATTAAATTGCATAAGTGTTCTGCAGCAGTATGGACACCTACACGCCTCAGTTTGTGAAGGAAAAAAAAAGTACAGATAACTCAATATAGGTATGTAAACTTATGTTAAATGCAAATGTAAATGGGCATTTGCAGTGTAAATGGTGCCTTTCTCTTCTAAGCAAATGAAAGAAGATGAGTGTGCCCTGTTTAATTTGACCGCTCCTGTGTTTTGAAACGGGTACACAGCGTTATCATCAGCGCTGAAGAGAATCTTGCTGAGTTGTGCGTCGCTTACCTAAACGCACGCATATATATAAATGAGCTAACACCTATGTGCAACATATACTCTTGGTTTGTGCTTGACAAAGATAATGACCTTGACAGGAAATGTGGGGAACCTTCACCGGATGCACAATGTGACTTCTCACAGGTTTTTCTTAAGAACTAGAGTTGACACCATCTGTGAAGCTGAGAGGAACACAAGCTGTCTCTTTGTGCTGCTTTCAGTATCGTTCTTGCTTGGCAGCATGCTTATTTCTCTTTTTGGCTATATTGTTTTTGTTTTTTTTAAAAAGCACATTTTTTTTCCAACAAGAGTGGGAGCTGGCAACACAGAATGGCACAAGAACATATTTAAAGTTTTTAAATACTAATACATTAAAACCCTCACCAAATCTCAGGAAGCATCATTTTTG